GGGGCGGGAAGAGCGAACTCCCGCCAGTCGCCGAGGTCAAATTTTTCCATGCGAATTGCGCGTCAGTTCGCACCCTCAGGAGGTCCGTGGGTCCCTCAACTAGGTCAGTTTCCCTTTCTTCGACCTTCATTCTAATCGTGAATTCCTCCTTTAATGTGGTTGGATATTTTAAATTTGAGGAGAAAAAGGACAACAAAGCCTATGAGGTATTCTGTGAATATAACGCTACATCAATATGTGCCAAACAATGTGTTCCCCACGAGATCACCTATTATATGAAATCTGAACAACGGAAATCTTTTAAGGAATGGATAGAACTCACCTTGAGCGATCTGTAAACGACCTTTCGTCCTTGTTGTGCACCAAGAACTGTCCTAACAAGTTATAAGCCTGAAACAATAGATGAAATAATGAATAAAGAAAGGAAGAGGGTGCTAACTTAGTTGGGGGGACCACGCGGCGGCGCGGCGCTCTGTTCGTCTGCTCCTCTAAGGCTTAGTCCAAGGGGCAGTTACTATTTCGTCGCCACGTGGCAGTTTCTACGCGCCATCGGCGGACTAAGCCTTGGAGGAGCAGACGAACAGAGCGCCGCGCCGCCGCGTGGTCCCCCCCCCCCCCAACTAAGTTAGCACCAGGAAGAGTACTAGATATTTTAGTATATCCACCTTATCGGTTCCACCCTGAGAAAGTTTAGCACCATAGGCAGGTCCAATTCCAGCAACAGCAGTGACCTTTTTATCACCCATTGGCTCGCAACGAATTCACGATGCTTCTGTGTAGTTGACATTGTTGTGGTCTGAAACGCTGAACTTGGTAAATATTCTAAAATGAGTCGTTTTCTGTTTTCGCGAATCATACTCGGATGAATAAGGATCCTACACGAAAAGGTGGTCGAATTTTACACGTGGTCTGCAGATGAACGCTAGTAGGGTTTGTTGTCCGACGAGGGACATCAACTGACGCAATTGTTCAATCTGCTATTAACAGAAGAGAACATTTTACAGCCCGTCGTATACATTGAGGCTTTCAGACACTAACAAAGTAAGACATGTCAAGAACTGGATGTTTTCTAAGCAGCATCTGACCTATTTACATTTTTTTTACCTCATTTTTTTCTTGGACATCCAGAAAAGTGGCGATCACAAGTCTCACGGGCTGGTGTGGTGGTAGGTGGTGCTGTCGCGCGCGGTCCAGGGATCAAATCCTGGGTCCCGTCGCCCGGGCCAACCAAGCCTTCCATCCCTCCGGGGTCGGTTAATTGGTACCAGACTTGTCTGGGAGGAAAAAACACTGACTTGTACATCGGCTGGCCCCCGCAAGTCATTGTATAGGCCACATCGCATTCAAACGCCACTACGAATGTACAAATGGAAGTAGAATGCGTGCCGCATCCCAAAAAGGGATTGATCAACGGCAAATGCTTTATCCTTTATCCTTTATGTCGCAGTGGTGCGTGTTTAGTTCTTATTTTGTTAAGCGCCCTTCTTTTTTGAAGCCTCAAAACGTATCATGGTTTTTCGATATGTTACTGTAGTTTGATGTTTGAAGGCGTTACTGTTTCTATCATGTTTTCTTTTGGCAACAGATTCCATCAGGAGATGTCTGGTCGACGAACTACTTGAACTTGGTCCTTTGAAGTGCCTCAATTCGATGCCTCTCGCCTTAACAGCGGCTCATGACTGCTGTGATCTCACACATTCAAACTTTTGCCACAATGTGATTGGCTCACCCACCCCGAGTTTCCCTTGCCTCCAAGGGCTTAGTCCTAGGGCTCCGACCTTCGTCCTAGGGATTCGGAGCCAAGCCAACCGCCGTTATCTGATCGTCGGTGTTTTAGCCATTCTCGGCAGGACAATAGAGAAAAAATTAATAATAGGTGAGCCCGAACCATATGGCATATACCTCTTAAAGCAGCAGCGAGAGAAAAAAGTCAAGGAGGCGTAGATTAGGTTTTTAAAACCTGCAAAAGCCAATATTCCACAAAACTTTCAGCAGAAAGGGCTCCTGAAGATAATGAAACCCATCAGCGGGCTACATGCTGACGTTTGTTGTTTATGAAAAGTACTTGAAGGCACATCATCATCGACACACCATCAAAGCCTGCGAGGAAATTTAAAGATACTTAGCACACTGCTTTTGAATTCACAAGTGTATCTGTGCATGGTCAAGCGTGCGTCAAGGATTCCTCAACGGCATGTTGAGGATTCACTGCCAGATCAGACACGTTCTCGCGCGGACATTCACACTCGCGTGCTCTAGCTGTCCGCACGTACGTTCACTCTCGGCACTACCCTCACGCGGTAGAGAGCCATGGTCGAGGAAATCCTAGGCCGATGTCAGACTTTGCGAATCGAGCGATTCGCTAGCGTCCGCGGTGGCGTCGCGGCCAGTGAATGGCCTCAATTGGCTGGTACCGCAGCGCGACGCTATTGTGTGTTACGGCATTGAAGTAATAATTAATTTCATAAAAAAACTGCGGGTTCCATTTGCCTTCATTAACTTATACAGCTGTCGGTCAGCATTGACCGACATCGTCCCACGGGACAGACTGCATGTCGATCACCATTGACTGAAATCGTCGTCAACCTGTTAAGCACCTCCAAATGTTCGAACGCAGCCGAAAGAGGTGAAGCTAAATCTGTGCGACATTTATAATGAAACAACCCAATAACAGAATTAGTTCAAAGATTTCTTCTACTAGTCGAACAAATGTCGGTGTAATTCAATAGAGCAAGAAGCGATTTTTCCGCTCCTTGCAGCGCGAAGCTCTTTTTGCTGCAGGGAACCAGGCACACTCCTGACCAGGAGCGAAAAAGTCATGTGCTGCGAAAAGCAGAAAAGTTGCTCCCTGTCCAAGTGATTCAAGCC